CAAAGCTGAGGTCTAAATTAGGAAAAATTTTTATATAGTTGACTCTCCATAAATTGTTTTGTTTCTAGTATCTGGTTCATATCAGTCATCTAAGAAATCCCGCATCCTTATGCTGTAGTGGGCTCAATGTTGATAGCTTCCTAGACCTGAAGTCAGAAAGACTTGAGTTCTAATTTGGTCTGCGGCCCTAGGCAAATCATTTAACATCTGCCTACCTCAGTTTTTTCATCTGTAAAGATGAGGATAATAATAGCACCTACCTCTCAGGGTTATCCTGAAAATGGGATATTTATAAAGTGCTTTGCAAACCATAAAATGATATTTAAATGCTAGTTTCTATCATCATCATCATCATCATCATCATCATCATTATTAACCCTCTGCAAGTCTTTTCCAAATTCTCTTTAAAATCTAGCATAGCTAAGAAGTAATTATAAGACTTAGTTCGTATATGGGAATTATAGAACACAAGAAATCAGTTCATGACTGGAGGCCCACCATCCACCATGAAATGACAGTTTAAGTTCTCTTGTTTTTTTAGAAAGTCCTCATTACTTACACCTCTGGCTAAGCCATAAGGAACCTTCCTGCCCCTTGATGTGCAGTTGGAGGATTAAAAAAAAAAAGCCCATTACTAGCATGAAAAGACAGCATCATATTGAGAAGCTCTTAACCTGAGGTGCATTAACTTGTTAATGTTGTTGTTTAAATACTTTGATTACTTATTTCGATATAATTGGCTTCCTTTGTGATCCCAAGTATTTTATTTTAGGCATTTAAAAACATTATTCTGAGAAGGAGTCCATAGGCTTCACCAGATTGCATAAGAGGTCCATGACATAAAAGAGGTTAAGAACCTCTGATTTAAAAGATGAAGAGAGAAATTTTAAAAGGCTTAATTGTTGTTAAGTTGCATAATGTTCTAAGCTGGCAAATGCCCCAGGCACATACTAATGGTTGCCTCTGCCTTTCCTTTATCATATCCCCTCTCTCCACTAACAGCTTCTGGATGTGATGACCCCAATTAGTTTAATAATAGGCTTAGAGTTACTTCTGCTCATCTCTAAAACAGTCAATAAACATTTATTAAACACTTAGTGTGTGCCAAGCACTATGTTAAAACTGGAGGATACAAAAGGAAGCAAAAGACAGTGCCTACCCTCAAAGAGCTCACAATCTAATGGGAGAGATCCGCAACAAACAAACATGTACAAACAAGTTATATACAGGATAAATATGGAATCATTAAAAGACAGAAGGGAGTAGAATTAAGAGAGGTCAGGAAAGACTTCCTGTAGAAGTTGGGATTTTAAGGAAGCCAGAGAAGCTAGAAGGCCCAGATGAGGAGAAAGAACATTCCAGGAATGGGAGAGAGCCAGTGAAAAATGTCCTGATCAGAGAGATGGAATGTAACATTATTAGAACTCTGTCAAGTCTGCAAAAATACAAGTCGTTCCCCGATTGATAAATGGTCAAAGGATATGAACAGGCAGTTTTCCAATGAAGAAATCAAAACAATTTAGGTCATATGAAAAACTGCTCTAAATCATTATTGATTAGAGAAATGCAAATCAAAACAACCTTGAGATCATTTTATACCTACCAGATTGACTAAAATGATAGATGGAGAAAATGATAAATGTTGGAAAGGATGTGGAAAAATTGGGACACATTCATTATTGGTGAAATTGTAAACCAATCCAACCATTTAGGAGAGCACTCTGGAATTATGCCTTAAGAGCTATTAAACCACCTGTACTTTTTGATCCAGCAATATCACTACTTGGTCTATTTCCAAAGATGATTAGAGAAAAAGGAAAAGAACCTGTATGTTCTAAAATGTTTATATCAACTGGAAATTTTGAGGATGCCTGTCAACTGGGGAATTGGTGAACAAGTTGTATATGACTGTGATGGAATGCTACTGTGCTATAAGAAATGATGAACTCAATGATCTCAGAAAAACATGGAGACTTGCACAAAATAATAAAGAGTGAAATAGTGAAAGAGAACATTGTTTGTAGTAACAATATTTTCTTTTTCTTTTCATTATTTATTTGTTTTTAGTTTTCAACATTCACTTCTATAAGATTTTGAGTTCTAAATTTTCTCCCCTCTTCTCTTCTCCCTCCCCAAGATGGTGTGCAATCTGATATAGGCTATACATGTACAATCATATTAAACATATTTCCACATTAGTCATGTTGTAAGGAAGAATTAGAACCAAAGGGAAAAACCATGAGAAAGGAAAAACAAAAAGAAAAAAAAAGAGAGAAAATAGTATGCTTTAATCTGCATTCAAACTCCATAGTTCTTTCTCTGGATGTAGATAACATTTTCCATCATGAGTCTTTTGGAATTGTCTTCAATCCTTGTAAGCAATATGGCTTTAAGAATAACTTTGAGTGAATAAATTATTTTGGCTAATATAAATACCCAAATTAACTATAAAGGACATATGAAGAAAGACACTATCTGCATCCAGAGAAAGAGCTGATAAATAGAAGCACGTATAGAATAATTTTACAAATACATACCTATTTGTGTCTAATGGTGGCCATGGGGGAGGGGAAAGAAAAAAATTTACATGATAGCTTTGTTGTATATTTAAAAGGAATAACAAGTTTATAATAGATTTGCAGTTTCATGTGCAATCATCTTTTTTTATTATATTATGTTATGAAAATGCTTGCTTTATCCCATAAATTTAAAGAAAGTTAAAAAAAAAACAGCAAGGAGGCCGTTGTCACTGAATCAAAATACCTGTGGCTTGGAATAGCGTGTAAGAAGCTTAGAAAAGTAGGAGGGGTGAGGCTATTAATTGCTGTAACTTATTGTTTATAATTATAATTATTATATATCGTATTACATAACATAAGGCCTTTTAAACTTGAAATCATAGGACCTGAGGTCAAATGCAAACTTTGTGTGACCTTGGGCAAGTCACTTATTTAAGCCTCTATGAGTCTCAATTTCTTCATTTGTAAAATTAGAGAGTTGGACTAGATGCCTGAAGTCTCTTTCAACAGTAGATCTATGATCCTTTGCTTGGTTTCTCTTAAGGTTGCTTAATTTAGCCTCTCCTCGGAATTACCAACTCAAGTTACTTCTAGCCCTAGAGAAGACTTGAGGGAATATATTCCTATTATTGAAACTTTTTCTTTTATCGTTAAAGTTTTGTTTGGTGTTTTGTGTGTGTCAGGACCAATGTTTTAACTTCGGAGGTAAATTCTTGGTGAAGAAACTCTCAGTAGCAATGGCGACTGAAAATTGCTTTGCAATTTACAGCATTAGAGGGTTGCTTTGGGGGCCTTGAGAGTTGGTCACAAAGTCATTGTGAGCCAAATATAGGACTAGAAGAAACGTCTTCCAGAATTCAAGGCCCTCTTTCTCTAGTACACCATAATGCCTCTCGTGGGTTTAAAATTATTATTTTTTTTCCCCTCAAGTTAACAGGCGAACTAACCTTTTTTTTCTCTGCCCACTTATACAAAAGAGGAAATGGAACATTTTTTTAAAACAGCAACAACAACAACAAACTGAAAAAAAACATGCCGGTCCTTTAAAATTCTTAGAGTGTAAAGGAAAAGAACTATGACTTTTATTTGTCCTAAAACGTAAATTCATCATGCTCATTTAATAAAGATGAAACAGTCATTCTCAAGTGTTATTTCTCACTTTTCTCCTGTCAAAAAAAAAAAAAAAAATCATCCACCAGCTGGCTGAGTGGCTTTGGGCAAGTCATTTAAGCTTCCGGGGAAGAAAGGAAGGGATCCTCGGTTTCTTCATCTGTAAAATGAAGCTGTTGAACCCAAAGTACCTTACAGCTCTAATAGTCAATGAAATCCTTACGAAAGAATAAGTACACCGAAGTTACGCCGCACCTTCACTTCCAGCTTCCTTTATGGTTTAGCCTCTGAAACACTAACCCTCCCTGAAACTGCAGGAATTCTGTTTTTCGTGTGTCCTGAGCTCAGATCCTGCAAATCTGATCGTTTATCCTGTTGAACAGAAAGAAGAGGAAGAGAGGAAGAGAAAGGAGGAGGAGGGAGGAGTGAAAACTGAGCTGCGCCTCTTTGAAATCCCTCCAATCCAGGCCTAAGCTGAAACTTTGTGACAATTTCTTCCTTTTTTTTTAAAGTCTTCTCAGTGACAACCCGACTAGGACCACCACCCCCACCCCCACACCTCCACACCCCCATAAATAAATGTATAAAAAATGTTTTTTCTTTCTCTGTTGGTTTGTGTCCCTCTCCCCTAGCTCCTGCTTGGGGAGGAGTTTGGGGCTGTAACGTGGGCCCCCTTGACCACAGGAATCGGCAGAAGTGGGCGCACTTGCAGCCCAGAGCTCAGCCCAGCTTTGAAGCCGGTGTTGAGCTGGGCTGGTGCGCCCAGGCCCAAGCCTGGAAGCTAGGGAGGCCAGAGTTCGGACAGCAAGTCTAGCTCTCGGCTGCTACGGCCAGCCCCTCCCTTACTCCCTCGGGCTCTCCGGGCCGCCTCTGGGGGCGGTGGGAGGGAGCTAGGGCCCATTAGGAGCCCGACCCCCGAGGGTGCCGCCGGGGGTGGGGACAGGACGGACAGACTGCGAGAGATCAGCGAGAGGCAGCAGCTGAGCAGGCAGCGTGGAGGCTGCGGCGGCGGCGGCGGGACTGGGGATGATGCAGTCAGAGGCGGTGGCAGCAGCTACAGCAGCATCTCACCGCCGCCGTCTCCGCCTGCACAGCCTTCAGTGCCCAGCGAGGCCGCGGCTGCAAAGCCATTGAGGCCCCTGAGTTGCTTCTGCTGCAACTCCGCCGCTGTTCTTGGCGTGGGTTTGACAGCAAGGTAGTGGAGACAAACTACGAGCCTCTGCAGAGTGGTAAGTGGAGGAGGCTTCCCCCCCCCCCCCCCCCGTCAGGGCTTCCTTCCGCACTAGGCTCCCAGTACGTGGCCTCGGGCCAGGGGCCAGGGCATGGCAAGAGGAAAGAGGAGGGGAGGGAAGGGAGGGGAGTGATGGCGTGCTGGGGAAGGGGGACTGGTTGGCGGCGGGAAAGAACTACATTCTCCCTGGGGAGCCTCTGCTAAACGAAAGCACAGAAGAGAGAGACCCAGGGTGACCCCCCCTACCCCCACCCATTTAATACACATGGCTGCTTCTAGTGAGCCCTGGGACTAGAAAGCGAGGGACCTGGGAAAGGGAATTTTTACAAAGAGGGATGCAGCTTCTGGGAGATGCCGGGTGATGCCTTCCGTGCACAAAGAGGTCGGAATGGGGGAAGGGGTAGCAGCCCATAAATAAAGGGGTGGGGCGGCGGGGGGGGAGGGTTGTGATTAAATGAAGGGGAAAGATTAGTTTTTCATACCTTTATAAGAGAGGAGAAAGGGGTGGGAAGAGGGACGAATAATTAAGTATTTTCTAGAGAAAAGATTCTCGGGCTTCTCATTGTCTTAGTTCTTCGTAATTATTTTTTAATGCTTTTAGATGAATGTAGTATAAATTATGCAATAACAGGGATCCTTGCCGTGGAATGGTGTGATCGGTGGAATTAGAGATCAGCAGAATATCAAAAATTTATTTCTTCCTTGACTGAAAAATTTACATCTGTAATAGTGTGGCGAAGGTTGGAAAGAGGTGGGGGTGGTGAGAGGGAGGGTGAATCTTCCCTTTGGTGCTAATGTGGAGGTCAGAGCGAGTTGAAAAGGGGAGGTGGGGGACAGTGTACCCTTCCATAAGCCACAGTTGATATCTACCTTTTGGCAAAAGGAGGGAGAGAAAGAATTGCTGGAAATGCATGTTATCTGCCAGGAGTGCTCTATTCCAGTTGACAAGTAAGGGGCACCCTTCAAAGTTTTGAGGTGGGAACATACATTTTAAGGAGATATTTCAAGCACGGAAGACAAAGCAAATTTGCCAAGGCCTGTGAGTCCTTTTTTCTCCCCTCCAGACCTGAAAAGATTGCAGAAAAGAAAACACATAAGGCAGTTTTTGCTGGATTCAGGTGAGTTAATTGAAGGGGTCAGGGAAGGGTGTCTCAGGGCACTTTATACCTTGGGTATTGGTTATTGGGTATTGTGGGCTTTTTTTCTCAAAAGACTCAATGCAATTTCCTATTTCCATAGAGGGGGTCTTGGTGTATGGACCTTACCTCTTTCTTCCCTCTTTTTCAGCGATTCTATTAGGTTTAAAAAGGGTGGTGTAGTTGCCCTCTTTCCCCTAGACTCCTGTCCCCCCTCAGTAATTGATACTTTTAAACATGGCAGTGGCAAATTTGATCTTGGCTTAGGTCTCAGGGACTTAACTTTTTTGTTCCATGAACCCCTTTGGCAAGCTGATGAAGGCCTTGGACCCTCTTCTTTGAATAATGTTTTAAAATGTAATGAATAATGTTTTAAAATGTATAACATAAAATACTCAGCATTACAAATGATACCAGTTACACTGAAAAACAGTTATCAAAAATTTTGTTTTTTAAACGTAAGTTCACAAACCCCAGGTTAAGAAACCCCTGGCTTAGGAGTTCCTGGTTTAGGATTTTAGGATGCTAAAGAAGATTCTTAAATCTTCTGTCTTGATGCACTGAAGAAAATAGAGTTAGGAGTTTGAAAAGATTTTTAAAATCTTTCCTTAAATTGGGATTAGTGGCAAAACTAAACATAGCAGAAATACAAGAAAGTACTAAATAAACAGGACAATTGACACTTGTTAGTTACATCTCTAAAATGGTTGAGTAGACAGAACAATGACAAGGGAAGAAGGATGGAAATGGGAAGCCTGAAAATAGGTAGAGAAGAGAATGGAATTATTTAGAGAGTATAATCTAGAATTTAGGCTGCATTTCTCATAGTATAAGCCCTGGAGAGATATTTTTAAGTTTAAATATTAAATTCTAAACTGCTATGTAAGAATTAGATAACTTTTATATTACATAGAGAATAATATAGTTGAATCATTGATTTAGGAAGGCTAAACGAGCTAAGCTAAAAGTGAATAGGTAAAGAAGTGATATATCTTATGGCAAAAGAGTTGTGTGTTCCATTTTTCCTATTGTATGACAGCATATAGCCAAAATCAAGAAGCTTTTGTTTTTAGCCTCTTCAATTCCATAAGTTTGTCTTGTATTCTGATGCTAATATATAATCCAATATGGGGATAAAGTACCTTAAGATCATATAAAAAATTAAAACGTGCCAAACAGGTAAACTGGGGATGATGAATTATATTAGAAAAGGATTTTTCATCTTTACAAATGATTTTGCATGAAAGATTCCTTCTCTCCCCATGTGCGTTTTAAATATTTACTTTCAAGAATATATGTATTGTGTCTAGGGAGGTAAAAGTAAATAGCCAAGGTGGTTAAATATATACAAGGTACATAAAAGGTAGCTTTGTAGCCGTTAATGATCCTGGTTTTGTTTTGTGTTTTTTTCAACACATTTATAGGAGAAATTCCAAAAGCTAGAACCCTGGTCTTGGGACATGAAGTGATGAACTATGAACTTGGGTCTCAGCAGGTAGGTGAAGGAGCAACTGAGTCCAATAGCTATTTGAAAATAGGTTTATGTGTATATTATCTGAACCAAGAAAATTTATCTTGACATTGAGACAAGTCACATTATTCTACAGAGTCTTGGCATTCTTTCATTACAACTAATCATAGCAAAATCATTCCGGAGAAAAATAATTCTGATGGCAACAGCAAATTCAAACTTCATAGACAGTATTTTTTGAGAGAAATACTCATGAATTTGAAAAAAAAATAGACCCTCATACAACACAAATTCATATGCTTTGTTTTTTCCATAAAGCTTTTTCTTTAATCAAATGGCATTCTAAATTCTACACTGGACCTCTTCAAGTGACCTACACCTGTCCTTTCCTACCCAGAATGTTGGGATGGGAGCAGGGAATCATATTTCCTAGCAAACAATTTGTTTGGTCCAAAAGATGTATTTGTGAAATAAGAAGAGCTCTTACTATCTGGACTTGAAATCAGGAAGCCCTGAATTCAAATCCTTTCTCATTAATTAACTATTTAACCATAGGTAAGTCACCTAACCATTCTCAGCCTCAGTTTCCTCATATTTAAATGGGAATAATAATAGCTCCTACTTTATGGGGATAATACTACTTTTCGTGGGGATAATAATAGCTCCTACTTTATGGGGATAATACTATTTTTAATGGGGGATCATAATACTCCTACAGAGTTGTTTAGAGATTCTTGATGTAAATTACGTGCAAACCTTAAAGTGCTATGTAAACATTGGCTAGTATTACTATTGCTGGTATCTTCTTAATTAAAGATAGCTTTTTCTCTTAATCATGTTTGTTCATGGGATTCTAAATTTAAAGCTGGAAGGAAATTTAGAGGCTCGCAATCCAAACCTCCTTATTTAACAGCTAAGAGAACCATGAACCAGAAACATTAAATTGCCTTATACAAGGCCACATAGGTAGTAAATTAAAGAGATGTTATTCAAATACATGTTTTCTGACTTCGAATCCAGTTCTCTTCTCTTCCACCATTCTAGACTTTCTAGTCTGAAGAGTATTCCCCTTGATCAACCAAGAAAGAAGCAGAATAGCATTTGAAAACTTTCTCTCTGTCTGCCATTAATATTACAGCCATCTGCCTCCGCCCCAGGCACTAGGTGTTTTCCCAGGGACATACAAATTTTTTATTATTGGACCATAAAGTCCAAAATCAACAAGACGTCTGAGAATCAGTGTCTCAGAGTTGGAAGGGACCTCAGTGACCATCTAATCTAGTTCACATGTGTCTCAATTAAATTTTAACAGAAGGGTAGACTGAGGCAGATCTGTGAGCAAGATAAATTCATTAGCAGGGGCATGCTACCTGTCAATAAATGGGCCCGTGGCTTGCCTCCATTAATGGCAAGGACACTGAGCAAATAGACAGTTCCCCTTATATAGGTTTTGGGTAGTACAGAACAAAAAACAGAAGAGGAAAGATGACTTCATGGGTTTGAGGGCAACATGATTGGTTACAGAGCTGAGGTGCAGGGAACAACATGATTGGTTGGAAGCTTGGTAATGGGGACTAGCAATGACTCCCCCTTTTTCTTTTGTGAGGATAAGAAGTGTTCTTTGTTTGAGTCCAGGTACAAGATACCCAGACTTTTGGACAGCAAACCAGACATCCTTGAAGGAGAGCTTGGTGACATAAAGATATGAGGCCCAAACTCCCTTGAATTCTTACATTCCCCAAAGTTAGCAAAAATTCTTTGAGTAGGAGAGCTGGATTTTTAAACTTAATCCATTACAGGCCAGCTGAACTCTGAACCAAGTTCAGAAACAAAGAACCATGACTTAAGCTGTTACAGGACAAAATCAATTAGTTGCAAATAAAATCAATAAGAAAATGATACAGGATCAATCTTAATCTCAACTGAAAAAAAGAATTCCCTTAGTGTGTATATGTATGTATGTATATATATATATGTGTGTGTGTGTGTGTGTATGTGCGTGTATATGTATATATATGTACACACACACACACACACACACACACATATATCCAATAAGTTATCCTCTGGTCTTTTCTTGAGACCCTCCAACCAGGAGGGTCCCCTGATGCCACCAAAATTAAATATCTCTGATCTAGATCTTTGTCATTATGTGGTCATGATTTCATATTGAAAGTCTCCTAAGTCATATTGATTTTGAGTCTTAGACCATAGGACATAATCTATTCTGTCTCTTAACTTTGTAGATTCTACTTTCCAAAAGTCTAGAGTATAATTCTGACCCTGCCCATTGATCTCATCCTTGGTTATTTCCTTGGTTTCATTCCCTTTTCCTTTGCCGCCGGTATCTTCTTGGTTAATCAGAATTAGATCATAGTAGCCTTTCCCTGACTTTCCGAGCTATGAAATAGTTAGCAAGGGAGGCCTGATCTGCTTTTAAAAGAATGACACTTCCAGTAGATGTTTGATTAGATGAAATATCCCATCACTACTACATCTTTCTTTTGAGTTTTTGTGGTCTATGTCAGGAATTTAGGGCAGCTAGCTGACACAATGGATAGAGTGCCAACCCTGGAGTCAGGAAGACTCATCTTCCTGAGTTCAAATCTGGCCTCAGACACTTACTAACTGTGTGACCCTGGGCAAGTCACTCAGCCCTGTTGGCCTCAGTTTCTTCATCTATGAAATTAGCTGGAGGAAGAAATGGCAAACCACTCCAGTGTCTTTGCCAAGAAAACCCCAAATGGCATTATGGAGAGTCAGACACAACTGAAAACCAACAATCAGGAATTTCATTCTTGTATTTGGGGATAGCAATTCTGCAGCATGTTAGAGAAAGAAATGGAACAAGAGGACCAAATAAAAAGTTATTGCAGTAATCAGTGGGAGAGGTGATGAAAGCCTAGAATGAGACGTATGGTTCTTTCAGTATTTCATAGATACCTATGGGCAGCCCTCAGACTCCCGAAAGGTAATCCTTCCCTCTAATTATATGGGTGGCCCATTTTTTCAAATGAATACGTGAGCAGAGAGAAGGGAACAGATCCAAGACATGGAGGTAGAATCAAAAAGACTTGGCCAATAATTGCATTTCCATTGGATGGCAAATGAACCACTTGTCAGGTATGTTATAATGGGAATTCCTTTCATGTATAGATTGGACTAGATAATCACAATCATAATGATAACTAGTATTTTTATAACACTTTAACGTTTGCAAAATGCCTTGCATGTTATCTCATTTGATCCTCCCAGTGGCCCTATGAGAGAGGTGCTATTATTATTCCCATTTTACAGATTAAAAAAAAACTGAGGTTGAGAGAATTTATTTGACTTGTCCAGGGTTACATAACTGGTAAGTGTCTGAGCAGGATTTGAACTCAAGTCTTCCCAACTCCAGACCTAATACTCTCTCTCCCATGCTACTTAGGTCCAGATGGCCTCTAAGGTCCTTTCTGACTCTCATGTTTTGTAATTCATTATGTTTCTTCCATAAAGGTAAACAGTCTGTAGTAATCAATCTGATGATGTCACTTCTGTTTTTCTCTCCTTTTATTTTCCTCTAGACACTCTCCACCAAGATTCTACTTTCAGGTTCATATATTTCCACACCAGTTTGCACCCTGTAACATATGATACTATTACACTGCTTTCTCTTGAACAATCTACATCCTTACATTGGTGCATTCCAGCTGTGAGTTCCATATTTGCCCACTTGTACTCTGTTGGTGTGTTAGACACACAACAGGCTACAAGTGTTCATTTCCTCCCTTTTCCCCATTAGTGTATCCTGTAAATTACTGAGTACATAATCCATTGTTAATCTCTGGAAGTCTTTGTCCACATTACTTGAATTTGTGGTATGTGAGTTTTTTTGTATCCTTATAACCCTAAGATAATAACCAGCCAGGTCCTGGAAAGCCTATTATGTTATTTGTCATCTTTGGGATCTTATACTTTCAAGTAGCTTCAACTTTATTCCAAAGAACCTTTTGTCCCCTCATTGACCACTCATTCGTTGACATTATGATCCAAAAGGAAATTTTTTTATGGGGTTTCACAGTTAGTTCATCTTTCTGAATCATCTAGGGAAATCACAGATGGGATTCCACTTCTTAAGCAAAAAAGTGTTTTAATTTTTAATATATAGAAAGGATTCCACCAGAAGCAACAAATTAATGACCACTTTTTGGTTTGTGTTTTGAGGGATGCCAACCTCTGTTCTGCACAAATAATGTTCTGTTTCCTGTCTCCCAGCCTTTGTACTGACTGTCCTCTGTGCTTGGTACACCCTCCACCCTTCCCTTCACCTCCAAATCCATTATTTCCTTCAAGATTCAGCTCAAGATCCGTCTTCTATATGAAGCCTTTTCTGATCCTCCCAGCTGCTAGTGCCCTCCTTCCAAAACAACCTTGTATTTATCATCTGTGTACTTACACAGGGTAACGCAAATGTTTTAGTTCAGTTTAAGTCATTAAAGCTTAAAACCACACTAAGACTTTTGGAACACCCTGTATTGTCTCACCTGAGAATGCAAGCACCCTGAAAACAGAGACTTCCCTTTTTTTGTTCGTAGAATCTGCAGGACTAACATGGTGCCTGGCACATAGCAGGCAATTGAATGTTGTTGATTGTTCCATGCCAAAGGGTGTTTTTTTCCTTTTAGCTTACATTTACCTAAGCCCTCCCTGCACCCCTGAAAAAGTACAATTTAAGAATTAATAATGACAACAACAATAATAATAGCTAATATTTACATAGTGCCTACTGTGCTAAGGACTTTACAAATGCCACCTCATTTGATCCTCACAATAACCCTGGGAGGTAGGTGCTATTATTATTCCCATTTTACAGTCAAAGAAACTGAGGTGAATAGAAGTTAAGTGACTTTTCAGCTAGTGAGGCTGAATTTGAACTTCTTAATTCCAAGTTCAGTGCTCTATCTGTTACCCTATCTAACTGTTTTTTTTTGTTTTGGGGTTTTTTTTTTTTAGTTTGACATCCCTGAGATACCTGTAAGAAA